GCCCCCGGTGCACACCAGGGTGGGCGGCTTGGCGGACCCCCGCCTGCTGCTGGGCTGCCGCGTGGCGGCGGCTGCTCCTCTGCGGGCTCTGGCTCCTTGCTAACTGCACGTTTTTTTGTTTTGTCGTTTGTTTTCTCGTGTGTTGTTTTCTTTTGTGGCAAACGCTCCCCCTCCCATGCCTGCCTGCCCCCACTGGTCCTGGTTTGCGGTCCCCCGGTGCTGTGTGTGTATGCGGTGGGGGTGGGGCATGCGCTGTGGCTGCCTGCCTGGTGGGTGCCCCGGTTCTCTCCCTCCTGCCCTCTGCGCCTGCCCTGTAGCCTGTTAGAAAGTTTGTCCTGCCTCCCCCGCCCCCCGAGGTCCCCTTCGTGGCCTGCTCCCCAGCCACCTCCATGGAGCCGGAAGCTTGCCGGAGCGCCTCTCGGCCCGGACACATCCTCCCTCCACAGGCCGCCCCGCGGCCCAACCCCAAGACCCAGACCTTGCCGAGCAAGGCCAAGCTGACTGACAAGCCGCTGCAGGGCACCAAGTCCAACCCATTCCCGGCTGGCACCCAGGCCCGGCCCCCTGTCCCGGGGTGCCTCAGCCCCCAGCTGGCCCTGCCCCCAGGCCCACCTGCCCTGCCGGCCCCTGCCCGGCTCCCACCCGCTGGGACTGAACCAAACACCAAATCTGTCCCCACCATACAGGTGACCCCTCACCCCTCTCCGAGGGGCAGTCCCCTCCCTACCCCCAAGGGGACGCCCGTGCACACGCCCAAGGAGAGCCCGGCTGGCACGCCCAACCCCACGCCACCGTCCAGCCCCAGTGTGGGCGGGGTGCCCTGGAGGACACGGCTCAATTCCATCAAGAACAGTTTCCTGGGGTCACCCCGCTTCCACCGCCGGAAACTGCAAGGTGAGAGTGTCTGGAGGTGGTGAGGTGTGCAGTGAGGGGGCTGCAGGGGAGCACCACCCATCCTGGCCAGCTGGGCAGGAGGGGTTGGGTTTGGAGGAGCTGCTGCTCCCCTTTGGTGGTTCATCCTGTGTCCATAAGGCAGTGCCAGGGGCCCACTCGGCACCGAGATGCCCATCTGGCAGGCGTGGCCTTGGGATCCCTGGCTCTCTTGTTCCCCTTTCGCCTCAGGTGGGGCTGCCTGGGCCCCATGGAGGAGAGAGGGCCAGTGGGTGGGTGTGGGTGTGGATGATCAGGAAGCCCACAGGACTAGGACAGAGGTGGGCAGCCTGCCCCTGTGTGCTGCGTGCCGAGGGTCAGTTGGCACTGGTCGGCCACCAGGGACCACCAGCCGCACAGCACAGCCGCCAGGTGGGGCGTGGGGGGCAGGTGTCATCTGTCCCTGGATAGCAGGGCTGGCTGGAGACCAGAGAAGGCCTGGTCCAGTTCAGCACCAGGAGGCAGGACAGCTCCCTGGGGCCGAGGCTCCTGCAGCTACAGCTGTGGCCAGGGGCCGGGGGCTGACCTGTGTGTGGGTGCTGTGGACAGCGCCCTGGCTCTGCAGTACAGGGGCCCTGGGGGGAAAGGGTGGCGTGGTCACACCTTCTCTCCCTGTCCCTCCCTTGTGCATAGTTCCGACGCCCGAGGAAATGTCCAACCTGACTCCGGAGTCGTCCCCAGAGTAAGTCCCCAGGTTGAGTCAGCTGTTACCTCCCTCCCGGTGCCTGGATGCAGACTGTGGGGCCGTGGGGGATCCTCCCACGTGTCAGGCCAGGGGGATCCATGGAGGGCTATGGAGCCCTCTGGTCCTTCTCTTTATGGCCATCTGCTTGTCCCCGGGCCCCTCTCAGTGCTGGTATCCCTGCATCTCCACCTTGAGTGCCAGGCTGGGGGCGTGGGGCGGGGAGGGAGCTGCTCTTCCCAGCTCTGCTCAGAAGCCACAGACTGGCGGGGAGCCTGGGGCTGGGGGCAGCAAGGGACAGCATGGCCATGCCTTGGAGTGACAGTCCACATCGCTGAGAGCCCTGGCCTCCACACGGTGGAGGAGGGGGGGAAGCCCTTGGTGGCCAGGCATGCGGTGCCTGCAAGGGGCAGCCTCCGCCGGGGGGGGACTGGTGTAGATGGGCTGCCCAGCAGCGAGCACAGCCCAGAGTGTGGCCAGACACCTGGATGGAGGGTTCAGGGAGGAGGTGTCAGAAGAGGAAAAGGCATGGAGCGGCTGGCAGGAACACATGTCCAGGGGACGTGGCCTTGGCTGAGGCCAGGACAGACCGAGCCCTTGGCTCACTGTCGTGCAAGAGGAGGATACGGGGCTGCAGTCCATCCTGGACGGTCTGGACGCCAAGTTCCGTGTGTGTGGGGTGAAGACTCCGCAGAGGCCCCACCCCCTGCTCTCCCCACCTCAAGCGTGAGAGTGAAATGCAGAGGGGCAGACGCAGGGCAGGGCCGCCGTGACCTCACAGGCAGCCTCTAGAGGCAGGCAGGTGGGCCGGCTGCCATCACCACGTCCAGGTTGCGCAGGGCCTGCAGCCACAGCAGGTGTGTCGGGTGCGGAGCCCCGCGTCAGGGTCATGGGCACGCGGGCAGCCGGCCCGGAGTGCAGGGATTCGGGGCCTCTGCCGACCCGCTGGTGACCTGTCAGGCAGTCTTCTGCTGTCATCAGACACTCTCACGACTGCGTCTGTAACGTAATTGTTACGTATTTCCAAAAAGTTAAAAAACTGCCGACAGCACCCCAGTGCGACGGTGCGGGTGGCTGGGGCCTCTCCTCCCGGTTCTCGAGTCCTTTGGTGACCTCGCCCCCTTCCTGAGGATTCTGGCTGGTGCCTGTCCCCAGTGGGTGTGGCTGATGGGAAGGAGCAGACCTGGGTGGCCCCAGGGGGCGCGGTGCACCCCCCAGCGCCTGCTTCTACAGACAATGTGCCCTCGTGCCCTGAGCCCTGCCAGTCAAGGCCCCAGAGGGATGAGCCCCTGTGTGTGGGGCTGCGGTGTTCGGGAGCCGGCAGGCACGACTGTGGGGCTGGCCTGTCTGAGGCTGCGGGTCCTGGAGGCAGGAACTTCCAGCTGGGGGCCGCTGCACCCCTGAGTCTGATCTGCTGGCTGCAGGCCGGGACTTGGGCCTGTCTCCACCTTGCAGTCTTGAGAATTCTGTCTTCCGGGAACTCTCAGCCTCCGG